TAACACAGAAACTCGTAAACAGAAATCTCGGCAGCTATAACTATTAAGCCGACGACCCTCCTCAGATTAAGATGAAAATAACGACATTGGCCAACAAAGACATTGCGAATATATGTAATGATTATATGTTATACATATGAGTAAGATATGGTGTCTTTCAGTGGAAAATACATAGCACGCAAAACTTATACTTATAATAAACCAGCGTTTGTTTCATTATCTTGAAAGACTTTTCTTCAGGCAAAAGCAAATCAGTCAGAAATCAGCATGATATTTGGGTTAATTACCGTCAAGCCAATGTTGTTTTAAAGAAAACATACTAAATGAACGACCTTAACCTAGCTAAACTTAACAGAAATCGGGAATGGTTTTTTGGTCGACTAAATTGGGGATTTTGGCTTACAAGTCATGGCGAGGGCTCGACTATCTTGCGCAAAATTCAGCCAATGGAGAAGGCGCTACAATCCTTCCTATGTTTTGTATAAACCTGTTTGTGGAAAATAAATTGTCGCCGTAGGCCCGGCTTTGCTTCGCCGCGCGGCTGCTACTACTGCTACTACGGCTGCTGCGCTGGCTGGCTGGCTGGTGCTGCCTGCTGCTATCCGCTTGGGCTTTACTGCTGCTGTGGCTGCTGCTGGATCGCTGATGCTTGATGCTGCTACTGCTGCTACTACTTTGCTGCTGCGTACTTGGATGCTGCTACTGGCTGGCTACACTGGCTCGGCTGCTACTGCTACTATTACTGACTGCTGCTGCTGCTGCTGCTGCTGNGCGTCTCGGCTGCTATCGCTGCTACTACTCGCTACTACTGCTGCTGCTGCTGCTGCTGCTGCTGCTGCTGCTATCGCTGCTACTACTGCTGCTGCTGCTGCTGCTGCTGCTGATGCTGATGCTGATGCTGCTACTGCTGCTACTACTGCTGCTGCTACTGATGCTGCTACTGCTGCTACTACTGCTGCTGCTACTGCTACTACTGCTACTACTGCTGCTGCTGCTGCTGCTGATGCTGATGCTGCTACTGCTGCTACTACTGCTGCTGTTACTGCTGCTGATACTGCTACTGCTGCTGCTACTGCTGCTGCTAGTTGACAGTGCGGCTGCTATCGCTGCTAATGGTATCGCTGCAGCTGCTAGTACCGGCAGCAGTAGTAGTAGGGATAGCAGCAGTAGCAGCAGCAGCAGTACCGCCAGCAGTAGTAGTAGGGATAGCAGCAGCAGCAGCAGCAGCAGTAAAAAACGTAGCAGAACTATAGGACTATCATTATCATTATGATCATTATCATCACCATCATCATCATCATCATCATCATCATCATCATCATCATCATCAAATGCCGCAGCAGCAGCATCAGTAGTAATAGCGCTATCAACAGCAATGCTGCTGCTGCTACTGCTGCTATCCCTACTACTACTGCTGCCGGTACTGCTGCTGCTGTCACTCTGCTGCTGCTGCTGCTGCTGCTGTTGCTGCGGCTGCTGCTGCTGCAACTGCCAGCACGGCTGCTGTTCCGGCTGCTGCTGCTATTATCCTAGACTGCTAACAATCTCTGCGCACCATGTTTCACTTACGTCGCCGCTTGTCAGCACCGAATCAAAGTCCCCGACTGATGCCGAACACGTGTGCATGGGGCATGGCGAATCCTTCTGTAGATGGGTAGAGAGCGGGGCTCAGGGCAGCAGCTACTGTTCTGATTTTGACAGGACCCCCTTGTCGTATGCGCGCGGCGTGCCATATGGTTTCTAAATCCGGCGACTGGAATTATTGGTTTGACCTCTTATCGATTGACCCGTTTGCTCATCAGTGATTGTGAGGAGCTGTAGGGAGAGTGGGGGGAGGTAAGGGTGGGGTTTTTTCGTGTGGCTCCTCTGACGTACTTCTTGGGCGGTGCGCGCATGTATCTTCCCGATCTTGTTTATGTGTACGATTCCGTCAAAGGTTAGTGGTAAAAACAAACGGCACTTATATATATATATATATATATATATATATATATACTACTTATTATGTATCCAGCGGGTTATAAGTTGGGTTGTGCTGCATTATAAATGCTCATAAAACTAACAGTTTTTTTTCCCAGCTTATTATTTATTAGACTAGATTTTAAAATATTGACTATTTGTTGTCGCAATGTTATTGTACGATTTTTTACCCAATGTTCTTTGTGTCCGAATTATTAAGTAGTATGAATTAGTAGAACTGACTTTTACGCCAGCGCAGCGGGTACCCGCAGCTT